CAACCTTCGTTCCGTAATTGAGGAAACTGACCAATAAACACCTGTGTCTCATGCCTCAGTGTCAACTCTCGCGGAAATCTCCGGCAATAACTCAGATAGTATATTTAAGGGTATATTTTCTTCTGTTTTTTGGTGTTTAATTCAACTCCAGGAATCAAATAATACAATAAAGAATACAATGAGTTCAGAGTGCTCAGCATTGTATTCCCAGGGCCCTTGATCCCACACAAACTGAAGAGCTCAGTTATCCTGAAATGAAAGAAAAGGAAACAGAAATGTGAATGGTTTCCCAGCTCAGTCACAGAGACATCTCATAGTCACATACTAAGGACACAACATTAACTTAGGGGTGGAAAGGACACAAAAGGAATAGAAGATGTAGTCACTTGCATTCAGATTCAAATCAAGTTAATGAGGCCGGAGAAATACTGGACATCATGGAAGAATAAGATGAAACGGTCTGGTAGAGAGTGACACACACCTCGCAGGGATAGCACCTGGGGCTCTGGACATGACGGGAAGAGGGATGGGACTGGGTGAGAGGAAGTGCATGGAAAGGCCTGGAAGTAGGAACAAGAGGGTGGTGATATGCGAAACGTGGACCCCACCAGGTGATGAAAGGGGGCAAGCCTGCGGGAGGTGGCCAGGTGCCCCCACCTCTGCTAAACAGTGCATGCATCTGTCCTGGGAGCTGCAGCTGATGGAGAGGGAGGCTATGGCTCTATGTGGATGAGTTGCCAATGAGAACCTCCCTGCAGCCACAGTACTCAGTGTTCTCAACAGGACGGGAGCACAGGATCATGTACACAATGTCACGAAAGAAAAGCATCCTATTCCCAACTTATTCACAGACTTCTATTTCTGGTATCTATATTCCCAATGTGTCCACAAGTACATTTGGAAAAAGAAAAAATATCTGTATGTGATATGACTGCATCTTATAAAACCAAGTGATTGCAACTAGAGCACTTTAAACCTAATGAGCCAAATTCACTGATGAACAAAAATAGACCCAGAGACACAGAGCCATGAACAGACTGTGGAACCTCAGTGAAAGATGGGGGAGGGTGGATGGGAGGGAAGAGATCAACCAATGGCCTTATGTGCATATATGCATCACCCCTGGACACAGACAATGAGATGGTGCGGGCCTGGGGGGGGGTGGTGGTAATAGGCTGGAAAAGGTTAATGAGGGGAAAGGGGACCTATGTAAACCTTTCAACAATAAATATTTAAGAAGAGTAAAAAATAAAATAAAGTAAAACAAAATAAAATAAAAGCCAAGAATAACTGCTCTGGCTGGGTGGCTTGGTTGGTTGGAGCTTCATCCTGTACATTGAAAGGTTGCGGGTTTGAACCTGGGTTGGGGTGTGTGCAGGAGGACACTGAGCAAGTGGTGCCTGGAGGAGGGAGGCTCCTCAGACCTAAACATAGTCTAGGCCTCGCCCATGATCCAAGGCCCGTCCTCTGCTGAGTGAGACCAGACCTCCCAGCTTCCCGTGGATTCCCTGGTCTCTGAGTCATAGGGCCACTTCCCCATGTTCCCCAGAATGCACTGCTCAGTAAGCATCTATACTAATAAAAGGATAATATGCTAATTAGACCAGACGTCCTTTCAGACAAAGCCACGGTGGTGGGGGCTGAGGCAGAGGTGGATAGAGGCAACCAGGCCAGCAGGGGAGGGCAGTTGGGGGCAATCAGGCAGGCAGGGGAGCAGTTAGTGGGACCCAGGACAAAGGCACGTTTATTTTAGGTGGCATCTGCCCTCAGAGAACATACATGTATTCTATGAAATATTTACATAAAGTATTAAATATACAAATTTTAATTAGTCTATCTTTAAAGACAACAAACTACACTAATAGTCCCAACACTTGCATTTTTGCAGATTGCCAAAAGCCTTTCCCCTAAGATCAGGAACAAGACAAGGATGTCCATTCTCACCAATCTTATTTAACAGAGTGCCAGAAGTACTAGCCAGAGCAATAAGGCAAGATAAAGAAATAAAAGGTATCCAAATAGGAAAGGAAGAAGTCAAACTGCCACTTTTTGTGGATGACATGATGCTGTATATAGACTACTGTATATAGATGCTATATATAAAGACTACCAGAAATACTACCGGAAACAATAAACAAGTACAGTCAAGTTTCAGGATACAAAATCAATGTGCAAAAATCCATTACCTTCCTGTATTTCAACAACAAAACTTCAGAAAAAGAAATGGAGAAAACGATTTCTTTTGCAATTGCAATGAAAAGAATAAAATACCTAAGAGAGAAACCAAGAAGGCGGCAAGGGAAACACCAGAGTTTGCTGCCTCGAACAACCACTTAAAAATACAACTAAAAGATGGAACGGACATCATCTAGAACCACAGGAAGGCTGGCTGAGTGGAAATTCTACAACTAGAAGGAAAGAGAAAAGCATATCAAGACTCAGAGGAGGCGCAGTGAGGAACTAAAATACTAAGGTGCGGAGGTGCATGCGGAGCAGGCTGGCGGCTGAGGGCGCGGTTGTCATTTTCAATCGGGAGGGAGTCTCAGGCTCTGAGCTCCAGTTCCAGGCGAGTCTCTAGGGACCCAGACTCATACGAGAGAAGCGGGACTGTGGCATCGGTCGGAACTCGAAGGCAGCTTTCTCTCGGAGGTGCTTGCAGCGATTACCGGGACACTGAGAAGCAGAGCCTCTGAAGGCAGGACTGAGAGCAGCCATAACTGCTAGCCCTGCCCTTTTGTCCCGTGAGACCAGCCTCTCCCAAGCCCTGCAGGGAGGTTTTTGCTGAATAGCCTCAGGCAAAGGCTAGATTAGCACCTCCCTAGAGATCCAGGAGCCAGGAAGCCCAGAGGTCAGAGTGGGACCATCCAGTTTGCAGCTCCGTGGAACCATAAAAGACACACTAC